CTACATTTTCTTGTGGCAGATGACTACTTCGAGAATCTGATCCTTCCTGTGGAGGTAGTGAGCTTCCTCTTCACCCTGCTCAATGGGGTTCACCTCTAGAATGGCTCAACCTTTGGAGCCTTGAGGGAGCATGTTGTCTTAGTGCAAGCTTAGCGGTAGATTTTGCAGTCACATAGGCAATTGGAAGACTCTTACTCCGTCTTGGTAGCAGAAGATCAAGGGGCTTAAAGAAGGGCATCATGCAGGTGCCAAAACAGAGTTGCACACCTGTGATTGAATCCAATTGCTAGTTTGCTAGCTATGGTGAACCAGCAATTCACAAGTCCTTTGGAACATTAGATCCTTTTACTATTGTTACTTTTCTTAAGGTTAAAATTGATCATGTCTATAATGAAGTAAATAGAGCTGCTAACTAGTTAGCCAACTAAGAAAAAAAGAACAGGGATTATGCTTTGGGTTTGCTAACCCCTCTCGGAGTTGTTGTGAAACTTTGAAATTCACTAATCAGGAATCTTTTGTAACAGGTATGTTTTTCATCAGTTAATAATGTGATTTTGTTCCCTTTGTTAGAAAAATAAGGGCATCAACTAAATGCACGAGTCATATGCAAACCTTTCTTATGAACTTTTTCGCTACGGTTGTTCATCCTAGCCATATCAGCTCAACATTTCCTAAAATCATCACATAGATTTTTGCATTGTCGCCATTACATGCATATGAAAGAAATGGCATGATAATTGAGTGAAACTTTCACATGGTCTATGCTAAGAATTACTTTTTTTCTGTAGAGATTGGATAGTCAAGAAAGTTGCACAGATGACATATATGGGATATAAATCCATCACAATGGTTGTAAAGCAAGATAAAAAAACGGCATACTAAACAGAGAGTAGCATATCTATAAACAAGCAAAACATTGTGGAATAAAAAAAAACAACAGTATCCCTAAAAGTCAGACCTGAGTTTGCGCCAGTTACAATTGTAACTGATCTTGATGATGCTAAGAGTTGCAACTCTTGACGGAGAGTATTAACCTGCAATATTTATATGCAATCAATTTGAGTGTAGGCCTACCATGAAAAATTGAAACAAGACCCAAAATTTTCATATTAGTGGGCAATTTCACAAATATCTGACAAAAAAATTGGTGATAGGTAGTACAAACTCAATGGGACACTTAATGACATATTTTGTAGGACATTGAGAATATCCTATGAAGTCCATGTCTTGAGTCATCACAGATTCAAGCTAAATATACATAATTTGTATCAACCATGCCAGCATGGCATGAAGAGCCAGTCCTAAAAAGTCAAGTATCGTGCCAGGTCAATAAAGCTCATGCCAGCTGGTACAGTCCCCTTTCCGACTTGTGTTGTCAGCATGTACCAGAGTGGAATATCACCATCATGCCACCATGCCTTAAAAGTTAATAATTAATTAGATGCATAACAGTTATATTGATCCAGGAAACAGTTATATCTAAAGGTACAAACTATTGCTATGAGACTAGAATTGGAACTTTCGTTGATGGACAAATAATAGACCCGTAATGTAGAGTAGGTGCAAACCAAACTTGATTGTACGATCTCCCAAGCATTGAATTGATAACCAACCCCATATCATAACAAACTGGATTGTGGATGCAGACCAGAACACATCTAACATATTATTCAATCCATTAATCCACATCACGTGCATGTACTTGCTCACAAAAATTTTACTCTTAAAGTTTATATGCTAAAGGCCACGGAAGTAACAGTGAGCATATACAGCTGGCAAAGAACTCATAAGCAAACACAACAACTACCAAGCTATCAGCATAAGCAAACAGCTGGATCATTAGAATGCACATATTTTGCAACAGGGTGAAGCTGAAATAGCACCCATATAATGCTAAAACTTTTACACAAATGGACTGCCAAGACATGTAAATATCCAGTCATGACTTGCCAACATTTGAACCATTGTATGATAAATGCTAAATCAAAACAGGAGCCCACTAAAAATTATATGATACCAATGTCAATACCAGACACACAAGAAATCAATATATTTGTACTAGACAAGAAGCATGCCATTATCAATTTTGTGTAGGTTGCAACAAAGTTTCCTGTTCATCGCTTGCAGCTGACCCATAAAGTAGAAGTGCACAAACAGGAAGGTTTAATCAATATATCATAGCATCAGTATAAACGTCAAGAAAGAAAGGAACATAATAGAAAGTTACAACTTCCATATATAACCCACGTGATTTGGAACTTCAACATAAGTTGATAACAACAGAAAAAATATGCTCAACAAAAGTTTTAGAAACAGAAGCAAGCTGCAAAAAAAGGTCAAAACATATTTAAAGTAATCCTGACCTGTGCTAGTAGAGATTCAGTCTGTGGTTTGCTAGAAGATTGAATATTACCATTATCTTGTTTTAGGTGCTTCGTGACAATCTGCAGTACAAGCATTCTGTTCATTAAGGTAAAAAAAGACACTAAAGAATTGAATTTTAAGTTCCTAAATCCTAATCTACAGAGTGGCAAATGTTTATAGACCATGAGCATGTCAGTTGAAGCTTTACCAAGATACCTTGAAAGCACCAGAAAACAAATAAGTGACATCAGAAAAATGAACTTCCTTTGTGAACATTGACCCTACAATACCTGCAAGACACTCGGCACAGGACATTCAACCATTATGATGCAGTGTTTTTATTAAATAAAAAAGTAAACAGTTGCCAAAAAATGACAGTTAAAAGAAAAACACCACGAAGCATGTAAAATATGTAGCACACAAAGAAAAAGAAATATAGGAGAGTTATGATACCAGGTGCATGGTTAATATGTAAGCACATTGGCATTTGAAGCAAGATAGACTGGACATGTGTGGTTAGATGATACTAGTCCATACAACTGAGTCACTAACACAGGTCTTTAAGACACTAGGAGCAGTAACACTTAATTGATCCTTTAGATATGCAATTACTGAGTAATTACTTAGTGAATGAACAGCAGAACTATGAAAATAAAGGATACAATGTACAAATCACATTATACAAACTGTTAAATCTAGATATCTTCCTGTTGCAGATAAAATCATGATAAAATTTTCAAAATAATCATGTATGTCTAAGAAAATAATAGGGGTTTCCTGTTTTCACATACTAAGCTTCCAAAGTCTTGAGTGCTTAAAGACACATTACAAAAAAAAAAAAACCCAACCATCCACCCTTCAAGGATTGTGAAAATAATGGGGGAACAAGCCCGACAACCAGATTTTCAAGGAGGAACATTATTGAACAAATACATTTACTCTCCTACACAATCTTGACTCGAATGAGAAAAATTACATTTATTTACCCAAACAATCTTGGTTTGCAGGTGACAACCAGCTTGCCACACTAATATATTCATCATTTTATACATAAATCAAAAGAATTTAACACATTTAAATAGAACGACGATCCTTAAGCAACACTCGGTAGTCATTACCAACAAAATATTAACAGCATCTTCGACAATTATTCGATAAGTTAACAAGACAATATGTCTAGGTTTCTCGAAGGCCAACTCCCCCATCTCTAATCTAAAAGTTGACGAGGGACAAACTCCTTGCCATGACAAGATGCACTTTTATGTGCTTTGTTATGAATTATCCCCTCAAAACACCTAGGAAAGCGAAAACAACTGATATATGAAAACTACGGTTACGTCGAACAATGGTTAGAGCACAAGAAGCAATCCTCAAACCGCAGTGCAAAGGAGCAATAGGAGTACCCGCTCCGATGACGATGGCGACCTTCCCGAGCGCCATGGCCGATCGAAAACCTTACGTAACCGTCGAGGGTTCGTCCGGCATCGATAGCCCCGAAGCCCGGGTGGCGAGGTATTTATACGGTGGTAGGGTTTTATCCCCGATCACCCAACACTCTTGGGAAAGGGCTCTCAGCCGTCGGATCATTAAGTAGCTCGAGGGATGCGTCTTCGAGAACCGTGGGATGTAGATCGGACGGCAATTTGGAGGTTACGATGCGCTCGGCGTATTTTTATATATAAAAATATGGAATATGATGCGAATTTTCTATATAAAATTATTTTCCTTTTAAAAATATTTTCCTTTTAAACTGAAATGGAAAATCATTTCGATTTTCTTTATGGAAATTTCATTAATCATAGTATATGATGTCGTCTCAAATATGATAAATAATATAACTCATAATAATAACCATGTAATTTTTTGATTTTTAGCAAAGGATAACAGGATTCAAGCTTTAATGTAATCGTAGGACAGATATATCATTAACCATCCATTTATATAAATATATCATTCTATATAAATGAGATAAGTATATATTTAATTTATGTTCATAAGTTGCTAATTATTTTATCTCAAAATTAAATGGATAAATTACTTTAATTAGAAATCAGAACAAGGTAACGATAACCCATTATCAAATATTTTTTATTTTTATTTATTAATTTTATATTTATAGAAATATTGGTCAACTAATTTTTTTTTATACAAAAGATGTATGACGAATAATGAAAAGAGTTTAATGCAATATATTTTCATAAGGGGTAAAAATATTCTTATTATTAGGATTGATAAATATTTCTAAAATCTTAGGACTATTTAGCTTTGATACTAAATGTCATGACTCGAGGATGGACTAACTAGCCTATCAACTTCGTTTGGTTTAAATCACTGACCAAAATGCTTAAGCTGAAGTTAATAATAATACACTCATCAAACCCTTATAAGTCAATATCTTGTCCACTTTCAATGTGAGACTAATCAAGGATATTACAAATACTATATATATCTCAAGATTTTTGTGAAAAAATAAATTTAAAAGTACTTCTAGGATTTCTCTCCAGAGAAGAAATTAGGGTCTATATGATAATAGTGTACAAAAAATTTTAGACCGTAAGCTATGTTAATTTTGATATTAGGATACTTCCACTACATGCTTGCAAAAAATTACTATTTTTTTGTCGTGCTTTATATTATGCAAAGTAACTATATACTCTTAAAAGATGCTGAAAGCCTTTAGAACTCCCTTAGGCCTTATCTACAAAGTTATCAATGGAGGAATTCAAACTCTACTTGGGATAAGAACTCATGCCAACTAAAGGCTGATCCTAACATTATTAAATACCTATCATTGTCATCATCATCTAATGTCCCCATCTATTATATTACATGCATCCATCATTCAAGAAGACCAACTCCTTGGTTCAGGGCCCAAAAACAATATGATTAATTAACACCAATGCATCACCCCACTTAATCCACTCAGCTTTCTCCTCTAACCTCATCACCTTGCCTCATTATTATAATAACCACAAATAAGACAACAACTAATGTAGACTAAGTCACCACTCTTACCTAACAATGATAGTACTAGAAAAGATAGTAAACAAAGTTTAAATAGCTACTTCTGCAAGATGTAATATCATATTATGGAGACCCCAAGAATATATGTAATAATATGTACAGTACATTCTACTGTTTCCACCAAAAAGACACCCCCTGCTTTCCATAATATATAACGATGCTATCGGAAATAGTGAGAAAAATTTACGGAATTTACAGGGAAAATAGAAACTAACAAAACAAACAGAAAACATAATTTTCACAGAGCGGATTAAAAAGTATTTAATATATTTCTTCTAATTTTTTCCTCTATTTTTTTCCCCGTGACAGGCGACACGTCACGCGCCCGGACTCCAGAGGCTCCACAAGCGCGAATTAAATACCCCAATCACGTCCGCCCACCCCCTCCGCCGCTCGCCGCTCCCGGTCTCGGCCCCCTCATCCTCCTCCGCCGTCTCCGACACCGGCGCCTCCTCGTCGGAGACGCTCTCCGCTTCTCCCACCATCGTCAGCGCGGCATCCTTCTCCACCTCCTCCGGCTTTCTCCGAGCCATGTCCGTCTCTTTCCCCTTAATCTTCTTGCCCTTATCCGCCCGCTGCGCCGCCTTGCGCTCCCTCCGCCGCACCCTCGCGCTGGCCCCGCCCTTGCTCTCCGAGCTCGCCAGGTGCTCCTCGAACGCCTCGATGGCCTGGTGGATGAGCTCGCGGTCGGGGGAGCAATCCCACCGCGACCAGAAGCCGGTGTAGCAGTCGAAGCACCCGCAGCCGAAGACCGGACGGTGTTGGGTTCGGCCCGGCCTCTGGCAATGGCGCCGGTCCTCCGCCCAGCCCTCGATCGATCGCGTGAGGAGGTAAGCGAGCACCTCCCTGTCCTCTTTCCCCATCGCCGCCGTCAGCGCGAGGATCGCCGCCGGGAGGAGGCTGAGCACCGCCAGGGCGTCGTGGCTCTGATGCTGCTGGGGCGAGCCAGCGGCGGGAAGCTGCGCCGCCGGCGACGGGTGTATCTTTCCCTTCAGCTTCATCTCCTTTCAGCCTTCGCTCTCCTTTATCCCAAAAAGAGCTAATTTATTGGGAAATATATCGGAAAAAAGGCCCTGCAGGTTTCGCAAGAACGGAAGCGGAGATGGAGAGTGGGAAGGGTCGTTCTTTTATAGGAGAGCTCGGACTGTCGACCGCCGATAGCCGGTCTCACCGTGTCTCCAATATCTGCTTCCGCATCTATGCGGATGAGTACCCACCTTAAGATGTGTGACGTGTCGTATGATGGACGGTACGCAACCAGAACCCTGTTCGTACACAGTATGGTGGTCTGGACTCCCGTACCCAGGAAAGCGGGAGATTTTGAAAAGACCCATTGCAACGGGAATGGTGCGTTAACTGTTACAACTGCTCGGTGACAATACCGACTCTGTAACTCGGTGCGTTAACTGACCGATGCCTTTCGATGGTCCGCAATAAATGGTGACGATACCGTTGATTCACAATGCACATTAGGGGTAGCATTGGCATTTCGCTTCAACTCGATTACGGTCACCGCAAGTGACGATACGGCGCAAACTTTTAAGCTTTGCCATAGTCGGAGAGGGAGGAGACAGGAGGTAACCAGAGTACCGTGATACGGAGGCTGGAGGCCGTCTGATTGGACGAAGAGGAGATGGACGGCTTCAGTTAGCTGGGTACAAATAAGGGTCCCCTTGTATTATAGTACGTCGATGTACCGACTCCCCGTAGCGACGTACCGACGACGGCGACGTTGGGATAGGGGGTGGTGATCTCGGATCAGACGGCTGGGATGCAGCGATCATCTTCTTGTTTGAGTCCGATCGACAACACGCGCCATCGATCCTCGGCGGAGATGGTGAGGTTGGACTGAGGTCGGATCCAATTTTGTTCGCTAAGGTTGTCGAATCACATGGGATTCGATAGATTTGCAAACGATTGGCTTGCCGTGTCTGTTCGGATCTCTAATGGACGGGCCGCCTCCGTTTATGAGATTCCGTCCGTACACCCACTCACACCAAGCCACTCATTGCATGTGAAACATGGGGCCCGCTCAGCGATAGGAGTCGGACCACGAATCTGGTTCCGGTTCCCTGCACTACCGTGTCCGTGGGGCCTTAATTTGGTGATTTCCTTTGTGGGAAGTACGAAACCCTTCTGAGAGAGACTATGGCTTCTGCGGCAGCGGCGGTCTCGGAGGAGGAAGGCCTTCCGCACCTGAGCTCGCAGGCCTACTTGGAAGGGAAAGCCGTGGGGGAGTCCCGCGCCCTGGTCGCCGACCT